CTCTGCTGCCCGCCGGCCTTACGCCCCGCCGGGAACGCGGAGCCCCGGGCGGCCGTGCGCGGGAGCCGGCGCGGCAGCTGCTCGGCAGGTGCCGGCGGCTCGCGAGCCCGAGCCTTGCGACCGCCGCAGCCGCCCGGGGGTTACGGTGCGGGGCGAAGGAGGAGCTGCGCCGCGCCCGGGCGAGGCGGCGTGGGGCGCGTCCCGCTCTTGCGCCGCCTCGGGGTCCGGCCGCCCGCCGCGCGCTGCGAGCCCCGCGGGGGGCGAGAGAGGGAGCGGCGGCCGAAAACGCAGGGCAGATGGGGCCCGGGGGGTTGCAGCTACCTGGAGACACGTGTGTGTCCCCCCCCTGCACCTCCGGCGGTCGGCCCGGCCACGCCTGTGTGCCGGAGGATACACACACCTCACCTGGGCTCTCCTGAACTTTGCAGCGGGCTAACTGGGAGCAAACACTGTTAGCAGCCTTGCTGAGGAGGCTGTCTGTGAGCAAGGAGGAAGAGGAGAAGGGGTAAAATGAAGGAGTAGTGGTCGGTGTAGGGCTGTGGTGCCTGGGAAGAGGGATGCTGGACAGGAGAAACTTCCTCCCCTAAGGCAAAGGAGGTAGGGGGTCACAGCTTGGGTTTCTGTGGAAACTGGGCAGTGCCGTGGGCTGGCCTAGGTCTCTGATGGGAATGTCCTGCCAACACAGCAGTTACTCACGCCATGGTATGTTTGGATGACCTGCTTGTTGTCTTTCTGTTGAACTTGCTCAGCAGATGTTGATCATACTGATGTCTTTCCTGTGGCCCAAACCTGGACATGGAAGTCTTAGATGTGGTCTAAGATACTTGGTTTTGGCTCATTCTACCCCCCCAAACATGGAAAGGGCATTTCCCTTTTAGTCCTTTCGTTGTGTGCAAGGCCGTTCTGGCTGCTGGGCATCCCAGCTTTGAAGTACCACTCTTGGTGCTGGTGGCTGTGGAGTGCAGCGACAGGTCTTGGTCCTGCTTTAAGAACAGGAGGGACTGATCTGGGCAAGGAACAGCTTGTTGCTGGTTGTTAGAGGCTCCAGCCTATGCCATGGAAGGGCTTCAGTGGGGCTGTTGAGTTAATCCCATCCTGAAGCAGACATGGAAGGGACACTTACAGTGCTGCAAGGAGTTTGTCTGGGTAGCTAACAGTTTTCCAAGGTGAAGTGTGAAGAGTGGGTATTCTTATTGTTCAGATAGGAGACTGCATTTCTGATGAATGGCAATAAGAAGATAAAGTTTGGTTGTAGGAAACTTTGGTAAGTGCAGCGCCTATCTAATGAGTATTTGGAAATTGTCTTCTGTTTAAAAAACTTGTAAAACTCTGGTCAGAGGTGATGTTAGGCTGGTTTAGATGTTCAGTGTTGAAGACACTGCACATTGTGTTCTTTCCCAAGCCGTGTTGGTCACAGACCTGAATGCTTCACTGTAACCTCTTGCAGGGTGTGTCTGTGGCTGGTTCCTGTACAGCACAGGAAGATGCTCTAGGAAAGTTTGAACTTGATGTCCTGGAGTGGCCCTTGGTGGCTGTTTCCAGGCTGACTAAGCCTAATTTCAGATCTCTGTCCACACAACCAGATTTTGAGGCACTGCTAGATCCACCTTCATTCACCTCCCTAAAAGGGCAGTCCCCAGCATCTGCCCAGTACTTTCTATAGTTGGGCAGAGCTATGTGCTCTGGTTCATGAGGAATCTGAGTTCCAGCTCACAGTTAGCCCTGATTCTACAGCAAGGAAAAGGCACAACTGGTCAGGGTGGAAGGAGTTTGCGGTTGCAATTCTCCTTTTTCTCCCTCCCATTGTATGTTTTGTGCAACATCACATTGTCAGGTTCATCCTGTATGTGTTGTCTGAATGTTGAATGGTGCTGCAGGCATGTGAATGGGAGCAGAGGTGAAGGACTTTGCTGCCAGACACTTCAAAGAGGTGGACACTTCCTCTTTGGCAAGCTGGAATTCTCGGTCCTACTCCTCCTGTCTTCAGACCAGAACTGTTGTCTGTTTTTAGAAAAGTTTTGCATATTTTCCAAATCTCAACCCAGAAAATCCTCTATGTTTTTCTAGCTCTCTGTGAACAAGAAAAACAACAGAATCAATGGGGAGACCCACCTACTGATCAGATTGGAACATGAATCATTGTGAATAAGTGTCCTAACATTACCTGCAGTTGCGCCTTCAGAGTGACCAATATAATACACATCCTTCTGTCCAGTTTTATTCATGATGAAGTACAGCTCTGCTGGAATATCAAATTTACCCATTTCATCAAAGCTAAAGGGAGAAACACAAAAAGCTTGCAGATAATTCAGTCATCACAGTGTGAGTTAGTGAATGTCAGTTTTGTTCCTTGCACTCAGCAGGACCCATTGAAGGATGAGGTTGCAGGCTGTGTCTGCTTGATTTGGGGAAGTGGGCAGAGGGATGCAGCTGTACAGCCAGGCTGCCTGATGCCTTGGGCTTTCTGTGGAGGAGGTGCAAGTTTTGCCTGACAGCTGCAGCCCTTGGGGAACTGAATTTAATCAATGCTTTCACCAGCATGAGTTACAAGAATTATTTTTCTCCCAGTTAACATCAATTGTGGTAGATCAGATTTCTCAACAGAGCTGATCAGTCTCCTTTCTGTATTTGGGACATGGTAATGGTCAAGGCTACAGATGCCTCCCAGTTTCGGAAGCCTGTTCCCAAAGAAACCAGCATGGTATATGGACAGAGGTGATCTGGGTACTTCCAGCTTTGCTTCTGTATGTGCTGATTCCAAAAGAGCCCATCCAGATCATGTAGTCCTTCTTATGAGCCCCCTGACATACCCAGCATTGACTGTATCTGTGGAAAAGAGTTGGTCTAGTCTTCTTAGATGTTGCATGTCCCACTTGGAAGTCAGATTATATGGAAAACAGCAGTGTTTTCATATAGTTCAAAAGGTATTTTTTTTGTAGAACCAGAAGGGGAAAGGTTCTGCATTTTGATAGTAATCACCTAATCTTGCTAGTTCCCTGAATGTTGCTTTCTTCAGTAATTCTTTTTCCATAGAGTACCTGAACTACCAGAACTCTTTCTGACAGGGCTTAAGGGTCTTGTGTTTTAAAGACCAGGTGTCTCCTTGGCTGTTTCCCATCCAGACATCATAGCCAGCGTCTGCAAGAATGAAGCCTAGGCTGTTGACAGGCAGGTTAGAAATCCAGTTAATAGAATCTGCTAGAACACCATGGTGTAGCAAAAGTGCAGGCTTTTCCCCTAAAACAGAAGAGGTTTTCTTAGGCTGTAGTAGTAGCTAATGTGTAGTTAAAACTGGGGTGCAGAATCTGGTTTTGCAGGAGTTTTTTAACCCATGTACAGAATTTAGACCACGTTCTAGGCTGAATGCCTAGGTGCCTTTGCTGAGATGGAAAGGTATGGAACATGCCATTGCGTGTGCAAAGGGGAAAGATGGGGAACCCATGTAAGAGTTGTCTCTCAGACCTTCCTTATGTCCTACAACTGTCATACCTGCATTTTGGCAGTTCCTTCCAGCAGGAATTCTGAAAACACCGAGAATGTATCCATCCTCTGTTGTAACTTCATGTTCCTTGCTGGGGTATCCATGATACCTGATAATTTTACTCTGTGGAAAGCCAAAGGACAGTTTATTATACATTTACAGTGTAGATATTGGTGTAGAAGGTGTTTAGAGGCTGCTTCTGTCCAGGAACATGAACATAACCAAGAATATGCCAGTAAGATAAATGTGATAACATATTGCTAGCTTTTCTCTACTGCTGTGTGTTATACTGGTAGAAGGGTACACCAAAAGGGATTCCTGCAGGGAAAAAACCCCCCAAACTACATCTCTCTCTTTCATGGATGATCCAAGATATGCCATGCCTTAACCACGGAGGCCAGAGGATGCAAACAGCAGTGAGAGTAGTTGGGGTGTGTTTCTGTGATGTGGTTTGTGTACACTACATTGTGCTGTATGATTCAAATTGTAGTAATTGCTGTAGCATTGGTACTCAAGCACTACACAGACTTACAAGAGTAGCAGAATGCAGTAAGGTGTTCTTCAGACTTGCTTAGATGGTAGCTGTCTGGTGTTTGACCTCCTATTGTGGGACAAAAAAGAACTGTACTGAGTGACTAACCTTTTGGGAGATATTTTGTCATGTTTTGCAAGGCTGATATAGGTTGTATCTTTCTAGAGAGTAACCATGCATCAGTATCTCTATCTTCATGAGGGAGGGACTTCTCAATTATTTTTATTTTTTATTAAATCTATCATATCCCTTGAGTCACTAGAACATTTGGATTAAACCACAATTTGGATATATCCTTAGTATTGATATCCAAACTCACTGTAGTCCACTTTGTAGGAGAATACTCCAATTTTTCTGTCAGTAGAATAGAAATCCTTCCACCTGTGTGCTCTGGAAGCTCAGTTTTATAGTAGATATTCCACTGCTTTCTGCAGTTTCGTTCAGTTCAAGCAAAAGTAAAACACATTCCTCTATTTCTGCATGTGGAGCATTGTTTAGGAACAAAACTGGAAAGTTCAGCATAGGTCACAGTTTGATTTTGTACTAAAGGTAAGGCAGTAGGGTAGCTAAATTGTTAACATTTTTAGGGTATGTTTTTTCTGTGTATTGAATAGTCACCTGACTAAGCTGGCATGTTTTAAGCCTTTTATCTGAATGTTTTCTAAATTAGATATAATGCACCAATTAACTCTAAGGCTTGGCAAACACTGTCTCCTTAATTTCAATGGCCAAGTCTTGACTGTTGGAGCCTGGAACAGTAATCTAGTCTTTTTATGCAATGAAACAGTGCCAAACAGTGGCATTTACCATGGCAAACTGGAATTAACTGAAATATTTAAAAAAAAAAAAATAGAGGAAGGTATCTGAAAGATACATTGAAAATGCCATTTCTGGAGACTTTTGATATTTAATGAAAATAACCTTAAAACTTTTAGAAATACATCAGAGTACTCTTGAGAGGATCATAACGTTTTTTTTTCTCATGCACTGTAAATGGGACAGAAAGGCACCGGGTCATTTAATGTGCTTACCAGATGTTAGAATTGCCAGGTTAACTTACAAGGAAAACTTAAATGGATTCGGAGCTATAATAGCAAAATGTTCAATTTATGTACACGTTTTCAATGCTGAGATTTTCATGCATCCACAGTGATATCCCAAGGGAAGAAAATCCAAGTAGAACAAAATTAAACTATCAGTTATTCCTTTTTCCCATTTCCATGGGTCAAAGACTTCTTCCTCTTCTCCTTTAGCAAGCATGCACTTTGATGCATAACATCAGGCTTGCAGCTCTGAAAGGATGCAGGCTGGCTGCTCTGACAAGCGACTGCACAGAATCAAGACAGCACATCTTTATGGAGACAGGCAGCAGAGGAAGGGACCACGGGCATATATGTACATGTTTCCTACATGCTGAGTAGGTGACAGTCTGCCCATGTACTGAATCTTGGCACCTTTTGGACAAAAAAGAAATATTCAACAACAACAACAACGAAAATCAACATTTTCAGGATTCTAATGTAATTATAAGCATGGCAAAGAACACTAAAGCATATGTGTAACAGAAGTGAACCTGTGACTATATAGCTTTGCTTGAGTCTCATGCCTCATCATGGTTGAGCTGCTTATCTGTTCTGCAACTGAAGCTCTAACCAAAGTGCTTTTCAAGAGGACCTGAGATGTGATGCTGGATTAAATATAATTTACAGTCTCTTGGGAGAAATGTTGCCTGAAGCTATTACTCTGATTTGTAGAGGATGGTCTTTTTTTTTTTTGTTAGTTTGTTTGTTGTTTCTTTAAAATAGTTTTCTAGATTACTATACATTTGTTTATTTGTATTAGGAAAGGATTAATTAAATTACTAAATTGTTATATGTAACTTCATAGTGATTTGACGAGTCTTTCAACAAGTTGTAGTTGAGAAATTTCAACAACCTGGCCAGCTGATGCAGGAAGATGTGAATTCCTTAGGAGCTGGATGTGAAGAAGTACGGGTGAGGAATACCTTTTCACCTTTGAGGTGTTACTCACTCCTCCATGTTGTTAGTCCTACAGAATTTTCACCACGTGCTGAAAGAGCAATCTATTGTGAGGATCCTAGTGAGTTTGTCACAGGTAGATGTCTGTTTCTGTTACATGTCAATGTAATTCTCTTCAGATAAACAGCCACTAAAACTGGTGTCAGCAAACAAACACTACAGCCATGGTGCTATACTAGTACTTTAACTGGAGAAGGATAGAGATAGTGTAAGTAATTTTATATGGTCCTCCACCTCATTGGAGAATAAATATGAAGTTATGTGGAAATTAAAGTTCTCAAATGTAAGGTAAAGGGCTTGGATTTAAGATGCATACTTACATGCATATGTTTTAAAACTCATTTTAAAATTTGCTTGAAATACAGGAAACATGAATTTAAAATATAAAGGGAAAAGATATTTTGAGGTGAGTGCAGACACTCGAAATACACATGCCCTACTCAGAAAGCCTGAGTGTAGTACAGCATCTTATCATCAGAGCCATCAACAATAATTCTCTTCTGAATTAACATATAAAATTATCAGGTTAAACATGAATCATATTCATTGTTTGGGCTGGGCTAGGAAGAGAAGACTGAGCAAAAAGTGATGAAAGCAGATGGCCTGTTTAATTAGAGACTGAGGATAATTATACTGGGAGGTCTCATTAAAGGCGTGGGATTTAGTTGCTTCCCTTTTCCTGACAGGAGTCTTGAGACGTTCTTGCAGAGCATTGGGAATATGTTTTAGTCAGAAGTAGCTTGTGTGGCACACTAGCTACCATTTGTAGTTACTTATTTTAAGTTTTAGATTTCATGCTTTTTATTCTATTCTCCATTTCTTCACTCGTGAAACTTTCTTCCTCTCTCTCTCCCTCCTCCTCTCCTCGACCTGTTTTGCTGCTTTCCTTTTTAGGCAACTGAAGGATGTTATTGCAAAAATGACAAAGGAAAAAGCTTCTGTGTTGTAACTTGTTCTGTCAGTCTTCTGCAAGCTGCTGTTCTCACGTTTACCTCCCTGGGTTGGGTTTCTGAAGACAATTGTTTTATTCTACCAAGTAGAACGCACTGAATGGAAATGTAGCATAAGAAAGTGTGATACTTTTAAGTTAAATATTAACCAGATTCAAACAAACTCGAGAGCATTTCAAGTGTGGTTAACTTGTTGGGCGGTTGAAGAAGAACGAACTCAAGCAGTGAAGAACAGGCATGGGGATACTCTACTCAGAGGTACGTGACTATTTTTTGCACAGTAACTGAAGCTGTTGAAGGTGTGGATATTCACTGGGTTTGGTTTGTTCCCTTCGCTGTCCCCCATACACAGGCTTATACAGATCTGGAACATTTTTCCCTTTGGAAATGTTTTTCTTTGCCTGTTGCGAGTTGTCAGAAGTATTTTTTGTAGGAGCAAAGGAAATGCAATAACCAGTGTAATTATTGTGACTTCACGAAGTATGTGTTCAACATTTTTTGGTGTTCTGTGTTGAGATCAGAATGATTTGGAATGTGGTGCAAGCAACAGACAACTTTTCAAAATCAGACAACCCCTTGGCTTACATTGAATATAGATAATAAAGCTAATGCCTAAGAAAATATTCCCCTCCCTGCAAACTTGTTTTAGGAAGGAATTTCTTTTTTCTTTGGACTTATCTTTATGGTTTTGTTCACGGGCCATGCTTCATTTAGTATTTTCCTAGACTTTAACATAAATGATACCTAAACATATTGTTTTATAAACTTTCCATTTGTACACATGGGAACAAATAAGGATTTTGGTCCTTTTTGACTATGAATAGAGTGTGTTGCACTGCTATTTCTTTTTCTGGAGATAGCATCACATAGCTGTTCCTTTAAAAGGGTACATTTCTTTGCTGAAAGACACTCTTTTATATTTAAAAAGCTATTCAATGAAATCAAGTATCTTCTCCTCTTTCAGTATTACAAGGACCTTGAATCTGTGCATTCATAAGGTGATTGGTGAATAGACTGTAGCTTATTCTGAAACGATTTTTTGCCTCTCTCCAGGTCTACTCTTCTGAGATAGTATTGCACAGGAAACCAGTATCATCTAACTTAATTAAATGGGTGTTTAAAGAATGTTCAAATGCTGTCCATATTTTCCATGCTTATTAGTCAATATTCTCATATACATTAGCTTTCTTCCTTTAAAAATTTTGAGATACAGTTTTCTAGGTAAAGTATGGTTCATTTCTACAGGACAGAAATCTAGAGAAATAAAAATAAGACAGTGTAAGTTGCCTTTTCTGAGAAGTATGCATTGGATATTAGGGCATTCCTCAGCATCCTAAACATGATTTAGACTTCCCTTTTAGTTCATACTGTGCCTTTGAATTAATTTAATACACAGGAAGAGGCTGTGAATTGGTTCAGAATATTTTGACATTGCAACGTATCTCCTTTTTGTCTAAACAACTGCAAAGTGTTGATGTAATTTAGGCAATCCCTGGCTGTTCTCAAAGGAGGAAGCAATTATAAACCAAAATTGCTCTCCTAGTTGCATGACAGGCTTTACCTTCACCTCCTCTCTACTGGCTGAATGCTTTGTCCTTCATACTGTGCCTTTAACCTTTATTTCATGTGTGGTAGAACTTGCTAAATAGCTTGAGGTTTATCACTAGCTCAGCAAAACTAAGCAGAGAGAGATACAAGAAACCCTGAAAACAAGAAGACAAATTCAGATGTGGCCGTTCATCTGGATATGAGTAAATTACCAATCACATGTCCCACAATTAATTAAAAATAAAAAAATAAAAAAAAAATCAAAGAATCTGTTCTGCAATTGAATTTCCCGACAGTGAAAGTTTTTTTGCTACTCTTGCACTCCTTATCTGGTTATCATGTATTGAGTGATCTCAGCCATGAAAACTCTTGTCTCTCCTATGAGTACTTCTCACCTTTCCTGAAGCCTTAAGTAGATACTGAACAATTAAATCCTGGTCTGAAGGGCTTGCAGAAGTATTGTAGAAAAAGAGATTTTAAGCACTCAATCATTGGCATATATAATCTTCAAACTCCACCCTCCAGTGTCTGTTCTTTGCTTTTTTCAGTCGGGCAGGCTGTGCTCTGGTTCATGGTTAGCCCTGATGCTATGGCAGGGAAAAGGCACAACTGGTTGGGGTGGAAGGAGTTTGCTGTTGTGATTCTCTGTTTTCCCTCCCTTCCATCGTGTGTTTTGTGCAGCATTGTGCTGTCAGGCTCATCTTTTGTATCTTGTCTGAATGTTGAGTGGTGCTGCAGATGTGTGATTAGGAGCAGAGAAGGGCTTTGCTGCCAGACACTTCAAAGAGGTGCTCTCTTCCTCTTTGCCTAAACTGGAAATCTTGGTCCTGCTCCCCCTCCCTTCACACCTGAGCTCATGTTTTTATTGGGTGCAATGTTTGTTGTGCCTGTGCCAGGTCTGCCCTGCTACGTTATGGAGGTGGGCCAGGTCTTTTGTGAGTTCTCTGGGGCAGTCAGGACACGGGAATTTATAAATAATGTGGTGTAGGCAAGAGTAGCCACTCTTGGACTGCAAACCTCTCCAGAAGTTTTGAACTCAGTTCCCACTGATACTTTCTTCAGAGTTTTTTGTTGTGGGAGCACTGGCCCTTGTTTCTCACACATACCTAAAGGAGACGTCATAGACATTATATCTGTGCTCCAGTTGCCAGTGCATCTCTAAGAAGGGAAGCTGCAGGGGCTCCTGGCTTTCCTCCACTGCCATCAGATTTCTGCTCTCATACTCCTGCTCTACTCCACACCTGAGCCCAAGTCTGAGGTGTGAACTCTGGATTCTTTGGACATGGCTTCCACCTTGCATGTGAAGCCCAGTTATTCTGAGTACGTATCCCATAGGTTTATTCCCCCCTTGTGTATGATGGGTGGATAACAATAACATGAAAATCTGAAGCTGGTTGTTAAGCTGTATCACTGCTGAGGCAGTCTTCTAACACTGTAGATAATTGAGTGAGGTTTTGCAGTCTTTTATCCTCCAAGCTTTTCTGTAGACTTAAAGAAAATATGTTTTCTTGGGTTTTGGATAGAATCTACTGCTTGTACCTAACATTGTTCTAACTCCATAATTGGCCTCCCTGCTGATCTTCCAGATAGATGCCATCTAACTGTCTGTAAGAAACTCTATTAGTCTTGTAAGCAAAGTTTGGAGAATTGTTTAAAACAGTCTTAAGCACAGTTAGTCCTCCTTTAGAAAGGACTGCCAGAGAGGCAACCCAAAAAAGTGAGAGATGGAAGAGTGATTTGTGGCAGAGACTTCACAAACACAGAAATCCTGGCACGTGCTCAAGCCTGGAGCCAGTAAGGTTTTGTGTCCATTCTACTGCTACTGAAAGCCTGTTTTGTTATTTTACTCTGCAGATTAATAGAAATCTCTTTATAATTTTCATGCTAAATTTCTTGGCCAGATATACCACCTTTTTTACCTTGTTCCTTGAAACCAATTAACACTTACCCTTTAATTTATTTTGGAACACCTACAACCTTGTCTGTACCTGGCCCAGCTAAGCAAATCAATCTTTCTTCAGGCTCTTCATATTCCTCAATTGTAGAGATGTTTCATGATCCTGCCATAGTCTAATCTCATTTTTGGACACAAGTGAAAAGAACTGTATTCACTATCCCAGTTAAGTGCCTTCTATAACAACTCTCTTCTCTTTCTGTGAGAGAGACTCTCTAATACAGCATTTGCCACTGGTTGCTGTTACTGTTGCCTTTATTAGACAGGTGACTGATTGCCACTTATTTGAAATTTATTACAAGTTTATTACAATAATGCTGATTTGTGTTCTTTCCTAACACATTTTCTGAATCTCTATTGTTATTGATATCAATATAATGAATTTATAGTTGTCTGTATTGCTTTGTTCCCTTACTTAAATATTCTGCTACTATGTTTGTCCTTCCAGTCATGGAGTTGTGTTTGCCAGTTTGGGAGGTATACTATGAGTTTGATCCATGGGACTTTTCCATTTTTTTTGACTAAAAGAGGCATTTTCTAGAATATAAACCAGCAGAGTGGGCCTCAAAAAAATCCCATAAAACCAGGAAAAAAGTTTGACTATTTTTTTTCTTTAAACACGAACAGAACATATTAGTGCAGGAGAGAATAATTTCTACAAAGAACCACCACTGCAGTGGAATAGCAATAAGTAAAAAAATACTTCAAGTACATCAATTACCTATGTATTAGCTGTAGGAATGGATGAGAATTGCTTCCTTACATTCTCTGTGCCCTGGATGTTTTCTGAGAACAGCTGGTTTCGGTAGGTAAAATAGCATGAGTCATATGTGCTGGTCTCTGTGCATGACTTCAGTCCTAAATAATGTGGTCTCCTAGGGAGTGGTATGTGCTCCATCATTATTCATGGCTCTAGAACTGAGTTCAACAGTAGTGTAAGGTTTAGAAAAAGATCCCATGGGTCAGTGAGAGTATCAGTCAGAAATGCCTTGGGTTTAATGGCCTAGCAAGTACAGAAAGAAAAGCAAAAAAGCATGTCATTTGCTGACATGAGCTGCTGAACTAGCAAGTATCATTCTAGGAAAGAATAAGACTGTATGGTAAATGACTGCAATTTGATCAGGTGTTCAACCAAGCAGCAAATCTTTTGCATCTTTAAATAAGCAAAGCAATACCTAAAAGCAAAAATAGAAGGGAAATCAGAGGTGCAGACAGACTCCACTTACCTTCTTTTTCCTGGACCTGAAGATACAGTACTAGACACTGACATGACAGAAAACTGATCGTTTAGATGGCACCTACATGCTGGTCACACCAAAAGAGGTTTAAAGGAGGGGTTTCTCCTCAAAACCATTAAAACAGTTCTGATTCTGGTGGAGTGCAAAATAGCAAATGGTATGTGTAGGCTTTTATAAGAATACAGACAGATGTGCAAATTTACAATATTGCAGGTATTTTCTGTTGATATTTATCTGAAATAATAAAAACAAAACAAGAAGTGGTGCAAGGTCTGGTAAACATGTAAATATTTTCTTAGGAAACAAATCACTTTCTTATGCAGCTGTCCAGAAGCAGTAATGATGCTGGAGGTAAACTTGTGTTGTAGATCAAAGTTTGCTGAAGTGAAAGTATAAATAAGAAGAATAATTTTAATATGGGGGGAGAGTATGAGAGGAGGGAAGTAACTGCAGGCAGAGTGAGGAAACAGCTTGGAGTTCAGGGCCATGTAGTGTATTTAGGATTTGAAAAAAGGAAAATGGAAAGGAAAAACTGCAGACAGTATTTAAAGAAAATTACTATTTTGTAAAATGTTGAATAAAATCCTCAGTATCAAAGACAGAAAAAAAGAAAATTGTTCTCTTTTTGACTGGAGAACTCAAATACTACCAACCTGCTACTTTCTGCCTGTATTAGGCTGTTAGAAACTTGTATTACTCTTGCCATTCTCAGCCTCTCCTTAGTCTGAATTCGTGCTGCTGGAGAGGGAAGGAATTGCAATTTAGGTCAAGGATGTGTAGAAATACTAAGCAAAATTTGAGCAGCAAGCAATTCTCCAAAGCCAATCAGGGTCTGAGTTGTGGGCATAAAGACATATAATTTTTAGGTAAAAGTTTAGCTTGAAGCTTGAAAAGAAACATTGGGGGGGTTGTTTTCTCAACTTTCACCTGAAGTGTTGTTCTGTTCTGAGAACTGATGAGTCAGGAGTGGTACCTTCTGTTCAGAAGTGCTCAGACAAAGGCAAAGCCTGTTGTAAACTCAGAGAGAACTTGGACTTGTCTTTGCTTGCTGCTTAATACAGTGACCAGCTCCTATGAGATTGGACGCCGTTTTTTTTTTAAAGGCTGCAAATAAACCGGATTTATTTCTTGAATTATAGAAATAACATCCAAAATTAACAGAAAACTCATTCCACTGTGCAAAGGCTGTGACTTCTGGGGCTGAGGGCTGAGAGCTGCTGTGTGGCAGCTGCAGGAGTGTCTCCTACCACCATCTTCTGGAAGTCACCAAGAACTACAACCTTTGTCAATTATTTTGGGATGTGCAAGTAGTAAGTCAGAATAGGAAGTATGGATGTCTTAATGAAACATACACTGATGAATATTATCTTCTCCCTTCAGCCCATTTGTCAGGCAGCTTATAACAACGATTTCAATAAAGTTCAGTTCCTTTTGGAGCGCAACTGCAACTATCTGAATATCCAGGACAGCTTCAGTGGAGACACCCCCTTAATTTGTGCATGTAAAAAGGGAAACAACAGGATAGTTAGCTATCTTCTAAGAAGACATGCTGATGTCAACCTCAAAAATAAGGTAAGTGGACACTGACTCCTTTGCAATGACTGTTCTTTCAGATTCTTGGAGTGCCAGTGGGCACACTGGCAAGCACAGCCAAAACTGATGTTTGTTTCCTACTGAGGCATAACTATAACCCCTAAATTGTAATTCAATAAACCTATATGTTTCTGTTTGTCTCCTAATGTCTTTTCCTAACTTGTTAATGCACACAAGATAATAAACATTGCAAACCTGAATTTTTCTCAGTGTTCATGTTCCCCATTAGGTAACACTGCATGCCATCCCCAGTCCCCAGTGGATTCTGACTGCTTACCCATGCAGCACTCCACATTCACTTTGCCCTCCACCTTGTGTCTGTCTCTTCTGTAGTTTTTTTCCTCTGCTTTTTTCTTCACCCTGGTTAAAAGGAAGGTCTGAACAAGAACCTGTTGACCTTTCACAAATATGTCCCCGAAGAGAGACTGACTCTATAAAAACCTTCCTTACTTCCTTGCCAGACCCGCAGCTTGTCATAGTACAGAGCAGTAGCATCCTAGGGGGCAAGAAGAGAAACCTTCTCTGTCTTCCTGCCCTGTTCCCTAATTTAGGAAACCAACCTTCCTTGCTGTTGTTGTTTAACCCCAGCCAACAACTAAGTACCATGCCTAATGTGATGAGAAAGTGTGGTTTTGTGATAAATTTTCTAGTAGGTTACAAATAAAAAGTGGCTGAAAGATGTGTGTTCTGGCTTCATTAGTAATTTATTCTTATGATGTCAAGGGTGCTAAAAAGGAAAAACAGCACAGCATTGTCAATTGTATTATATCAAGGCAACGTTTATCAAGTTCCTACACATTTGTGGGCTATCTCACATATCTGCTTTCCAGTGCATTTTTTCATTTCATAGAAGGGCAGCAAATGTTCATGAGGCCAGTGGAATATTCTATCCCACCTATTCTTCTTAATGCAGAAAGCTGTCCATCTTACCTCGAAGTCCCTTTTAAAGGGTTCAGTGTTTTGCATTAAGATAGTTTAAATGTCATTGGTAGCCATTTGCTAGCCATGCCTGGCATTCTTAAATGCCTCCCTGCTTCACCTTCATAGATGGAATAAGGCCCTTAGGCACAGAGCTTAACTGTGGTGCTCAAGACTGAGAATGAGGAACAGCAGGTGGCACAGAAGGGCTTATCTGCTTACTTTGGGCCCCTGTGTAACATAACCTAGTTTTTCAAATTCCAGTTTGACAATCTGGGAGAAGCTTAACACTTTAGCATGAAACTTTGTAGCCCTGCCCGTTAGTTGCTTTGGTACATTCAGTATTCAAAGTTTCTTTAAACTCTCTTCTCACTAGGAATTTGTGGTGGTTATTGCTACTTGCCTGTGTTTCTCAGATGTCCCAAAGGAGATGTCCTAAAGTCTCATATGTCCTTGCTTCAGTAACCAGCACCTCCATAAGAAGAGGAGCTGTGGGGATTCTTCCTGCTGATTTAACTTGATGGGTGGTGATAGTACCCACGAGATGTCCACTCTGTGTTTTCAGTCTCTGCAGCCATGTCTAGGTGTGCAGACATACACATGGAATCCTTTGGATCCCACATCCTCCTTGCACGTGTAGTCCAATTTCCATGCCCCTATATGTGTTAAATATGCTTCTACTTGAAGGAAGCAAAATGCAAAATGTGTCCCTTTCTGCTTGGAAATCAGAGGAATATTTCCAGTAGATAGTCTAAAAGAAAGCTTGTGAAATCTAAAATGGTCTACTCTTGTCGATATTAAACAAATAAAGTCAGATCACTGAATCTGGTGCTAATCAGAGTTATTCTGTGTTTAGAAGGACCGCACTTGCCTGCATTATGCTGTGAGAAAACGGTTTACCTTCCTTGACTATGTGCTCATCATAATCCTCATGCCAGTTATGCTTATTGGATATCTTCTCATGGTGAGTCTGAATGAAAGCAGGAAAAACACTGTATCTTTCCCTTTCCCTTTATGACATTTTTCATGGCAGTATTTCAGGCTAGGAACCTGTATAGTACACAGGACTGCTTTCTTAAAGCAGGGACTAGATGAATACAACAGAAGAAACAGGAATTTTGCTGTGAATATAGCTGGTGTAGGAACAGAATTGCAGCACTGCATCAGCCTGGTATTTGCAGAAGACACTCTTCTTTTTGGAAAAAACCCACAGTATTTAGCCCAAATTTACTTAGCACTATATATAGATGAACTGTCTTACTGTGTTACTCTTTCTCTTGCACCAAACAGGTCTCAAAGACTAAACAGAATGAAAACCTGATCAAGATGTTGCTCAGAGCTGGAGCTGATGTGAATGCTATAGACTCTGTAAGTGGATTTATAAAAATGCAAATGTGGTTTGCATGCATGCAACAACTCTAAAACCAGACTTCAGAATCTTCTAGCAACATAGGCCTGCTATAGAATGGGATCAGGGACTGAACTGAGTGTGACGTACCAGGAAAATTCAGTGTTTCCCCTTGATGTTTAGGCAACAGTTTTTTAATATGCTAATGTACACAGAAATAATCCCCACTGATCAACTAATTATTTTTTTTGAACAATGCCTGCATAAGAGAATCTAGGTAAGCTGGGCTGAAATACTTATGTGTGTGTCATACCCAATCCTATAAAGATTCTACTGACATAAGGGTCTCAGTTTATCAGCATTTATGAGTTCTTGAACTGGAGCATATTTTTAGGCAAAAATCATGCCACAGGGCTAAATCCTGTGTCTACTCTTGGTCGTCAGAGTGTGCTGATCTGCCATAGGCAGAGTCCTGTATCCACTAACCTACTTGGGTGTGGTAAAGACCTCCTCTACTCTAAGATAGAAAAGAATACCCAATTTTATCAGCAACCAAATTCTAAAATGCTGAAGTGCAAGCAAATAGTATTGTTGGGATCAATATCCTGGAATCCTCTGAAATTAGTAAAGAACTACTGGCTTCCTGCTGAAGGTATCAGACCTGTTTTAGCAGCTACTTTCCATGGAAGGAATGATTTTTATTTGTTGGTCCTGTTGCTCTTATGATAATGTATTTGTTTTACTGTGTAGTGTGTTGTGGTAGAAACTGATATGTGTGTTTTGCATCCATCTGTTGAGGGAAACTGATAAGGCTACAAGTACTTGCTTAAGGTCTACTACAGAATTCATAGAACTAAAATTCATCTGCTTCTGTATCCCTTCAGTCTAGTAGCACAGCCCTTCACTATGCTTGTGAAATGAAAAATCAGGAAGTCATTCCTCTACTGCTTGAAGCTCATGCAGACACTTCTGTAAAGAATCAGGTAAGAAGGTGAAATTGGTAACTGTATTTCCTTATCATGAGGGTGAATCAGTATGCTGGAAGTCTTAGCTGGTGTGCAGCAGTTTAAAGAAAAGGGTGCTCAGCTTCCTGGCAGTGGAGTTGTTTCCTGTTTGGTATAAAACGTTTGATCCATTGCTTTTGTTGGCAAGAGCAACTTTGAAGTACAAATCCTTCACTGATGGCTTTCTACCAGTAAACACTGCCCTTATGTCCCCTGGTTTGGCACATCTCATCTGTCTTTACAGTACCTCTTCTTAACTCAGAGGTGCTCTACAGTTCTGTTCCCTAAGGAGCAGGCTACAGGGGAGTGGTAAGAGCCTTCTTTGGTGCTTTTCATGCTGTTGTACACCATTATTCTGCGAGAGGCTAAGTCAAGCTGCTCCTGTCACCAGAATAGCTCAAATGTTGCCCAAATCAATACTGACCTGGGAGTATCTGCATTACTGAGTTGAGGTGAGCAGTGTATTACCCATGTTGCTCTTGAATCCAGATCTTAGCTGTGCTAAGATTTAAAGCTGTGCTAATATCCAAAATTGACTTTTGGATATTAGTCCCAGGAAACAGTGGAATGGCTGTCTGTCTTCAAAGTAGTATTAGATCCAGCATGTTCTGAAACCTTTGTTTTAGAGCATGGATGTGACAGGGGAACTTACACAGGAGACCACTGCATCTGGGTGACAAGTTCAGGAAAGCTCCTTGTACTTGATCGATATCTATGATATTGCAATGTGTTTCATCTGTTTCTTTCAGGATGGGGAGACTCCCTTAGATATAGCAAGAAGACTGCAGTTCCACAACATTGAAAGCATGCTAAGAAAAGCTTCCTAGTCATCAAGGACTCTCAAACATGCAGAAAATTACCTCATCTGACAATGCATCTTGCATAACAGCAAATGTCCAACAGAGGGTGAAGGCTGTTACTTGATAAAAACTTGGTCCACATCCACCCATTCCTTGCTGTAGACTTTGACAACTTTGTGTGAGACTTGTCAGTACCCCCAAGGCCATGTGTGGGGTGAAAGGAGTTAATTTGATTTTACTGAGCCATGAATGATTGCAATAGTGGTCAAAATATTGCCCTTCCCATCTGCTTCATCAGTCTTATTACTTGACTTCTGCAGTCTGTGGATTTTGAAAGCTAGCTATAAAATATCTGGAAGCCCAAATATTGCATATGGTTGGCAGCCAATGCAAAAATAAAATATCCTTTAGAGTGCACATTACTTGTTCTATAGGGGAACTAAACAATATGCTACAGCAGTTGTACAAAGTCTGGTACCCTTCCTCTTAGTATTTCTCTTCCCACAATGGGAGTGACTGGGAAAATAGGTCTCTCAACTGAGCACTTTTTCCTTCCATCCTTCCTACAGACACCTTAATTCTCACTATGTTGCTACAAGGGTAGGATTATCTTCTCTCTTTTTTTTTTTTCATATAAGACACAGCAAAAAGGGATTCAATGGCTTGCTGGAGACCATAAAGAAAGCAAATTCCCAGATCACTTTAATGCATTAAGAAATAATAATGAAAATATGTTTGGCATCGTAGAGAAACAGGTCTCTTGACTACCTTTCCAATATAAACAGTGTACTAAAGAAAAAAAAAATCAATAAATGAAATGCTGTTGACGAGAACCAGATGAATCCTTCCCATGGGACTGGACAGGATAGTATGCTTTTCAGAGTGGTGCATGCAGCAGGGGATAATACCAATAATAATAATAATATATCCATGAATCTTATCTTGCATAGGTAAAAGCAGAGGAAAACCCGCATTTGTAAGCAATGTATTAAAATGTCCTGCTGCTTTGTGATTTAATAATGCAGCAATAAAAGGGAATCTCCTTTGGAAGGCTGCTGTATTTTGCCTTCTTGATCTAATGGATCTTTGTTTTTGTTAACAATTTTGGCCTTTTCCCATAAGCTGTCAGAAGTGCAGTCGATAGACGCCATGATTAGCACTGCTAATGGGTGCTACACTAGGTGCAGGAACAAGCTAGTGTATTTTTCCTGTGTTGAAGAAGACAGATATTTTTCAGTGTAACTATTCTGTTGGATGCCAGCTCCGACTGCAAAGGGTCTTGGTTGGGCAATTTGAGTTTGAGTCTGCTCAGTTTCTTGTGTTTGAAGATCTCTGTGAGGAGGGAAAAAAATAAATAAAAAAAAAAAAAGCCAAGTCCTCTGTCAAGGGGATAAATAATTTAATGTAAATAAAGGTGCTCATTTCAACAGAGAAATGATCAAATTACACTTTTAGGTCTCCACAGGAAGACACAAATTGGGCATGGGAATGCCTTGATGGAGTACATAAGATAAACGTGAAAACAACAGAATGTAGGCTTAGGCAAATCAGTCTCGTAGAAATAAAAGCTGTTCAAATTAAGTGATCCCTGCAGTACATGCTTGAATACATTCATGTTTTCTGTTTTCATTAATTTCAAAAGTATTTTTTTATTAGTTCAATGATTTTCATATACATTTTCTCAGTTGCATCAAGACCCCAGATGAAATCAAGATGTCCCCATGTAGGAAACTGCTCATGGTAAATGAGATTACTAATCTGAGGAAGTAGCCTTGCCGTGTCTTTTGGATCTGCAAATGTGTCCTCTCCTCCACTCCAAACAGCAGTTGGTATGGTTATCTCCTCTATCTTGTACACAGGAGGAGCAGTCTGTAAGAAGGGAAGAAGCCTGAGTAAATGCTGTTGTATCAAAAGTTATGTTTAGGGAAGGATTCTGTGCAAACATCTCTCTTTCTCTTTCCTGATATTCAGGGTGTGAAAATCTATAAGTTTTGTTGGGGCATGGAGTGCAACTGTTCATTTTAGTTTTCATGCTTGGAACTTAAGTGACAAGGAAATAATTTGGCCATTTATAATTTCACTCTAGAAAATTTCTGAGACAGTATGCGAGATAGAAATGGACTGATTACATCTCTGGAGTCTTTCTGTCTGTGGAAAGCAGACAGCACAGGACACTGCAAGTCAAATGTGCTGGTTAAAAGTGAAATGATTGTCAGTCCACTGGAGAGATCACTGTAGCTGTGAAATTCATTTCCTCCCTTAACTGAAAGGCAGATCCTGAAGATTTTGGGGGAATTGAAGAGCACTGTACTCATCCGGTCCCAGGACTTGGGTGTTGCTCTTTGCCTTTTGAGAATGACATTTAAGTTGGCATGTTATTGGACACATCCCTGCATCAGTAGGGGAGGCAAAAGGAACTTCTGTTAGTTGTCTGCAAGGATCGTCCATGCCATGTCTGTGAATAGACTTTTATACTTTTGTGTGTGATTCAGTTGAAACATTGCCTGAGACCCCTCTTTCCCTTGGTAGCATTCACATGTGCTAAAATTTGAATTTTTCTATTCTTAGTTTTGCCAGGACCCAAGAATGAGTTCTCAAGGAAAACATATTGCCTTACCTGGTTGTATTTCTTCATGTTTTCCTTAGAGCCGTAGTTGTAAGCTTGAAATTGGTCTGTATGTGCAAGCTGTTAAAAGAACAGATAAAATGACAGTGACAGGAGACCAAGAAGCAGAGTGCAGGAGGCATTTTACTGCCTATGATTTAAGTCAAGGCTTGGGTAGTGGACTGTGAGTTACTCCCCCACCTTTCTCTGGTTGCAGGCTTCCTGGATATTGAGGGTAGATCATAGGATAAGTGGCTTCATTGCCTTTTCTCTTGCTAATTTTTTATCATGATCCTTTTCTTCCACCCTTGGTATGTTTTATTACTTACAATTTTGCTTTACTACCTTGGGTAACTAAGGTTGGGGTTTCTGTTCGTAATACAGAGTTGGGTTCAGTTGTCCCATGGAAAGAGAACCTGAATGTCTATAATGTGTCAGGGCTATTACTAGTCTAGTGTAATATGCCTTGCAGGACTGATGAGTGAAGAGTTAAATACATATACCTGGAGTTTTTTGTTTGTTTTGGTGTTTTATTTTTTGCATGAACATGAAAAGTAATTTCATTTGTGAGTAGTTGTATGTAATAAAGGCTGAAAGAAAGCCAGGGCCTGTCAATTTAGAAAACCTTTGCTTCAAGGATTTAAGTAGCTGGGTGTGTGCTAGAAATCTGCTTGCTGTATTGTCTTTGCTATTTGATCTTGCTGTATCTGTGTTTGCTTTTATCCACCTGACTTTGTTAGAGGCTGGCAAAATAGACTGTAAAGTCACTAGCTGTCAGTGGGTTTTCTCCATTTCCTGGCTAGTTGTATCTTGTGGGACTGACTGCTGGGAATCATTGTCAAGGGTGTCTTCAAGAGCAAATCTACATTCTAGACTACATTAAGTGTGCAGGTGCTCATGGCAGCAGGTGAGAAAGTGTGATGGTCAGCTTCCCAGATCCATGATCTCTGGATTTCCTTGTAGGCTGTTGGTTGCATAAAAAGCAGTAGTAAGAGACCGTTTATACACCTGTGCGCAGTTATACCTGTTGCCAATGAATAATATTCTGTACTGATGTTCCAGCTGGGGAATGTCCTACGTATGTGTCTATTCGACTCTGAGGAGAAAGCAGAAATTTTATAAAGACAGAGACTCAGTGTTGTGACAAAATAAAAATGCAAAGAAACTGAGCAACATACTGCTGCTGTTAAACCTCCATATTAATGGGATATTCTTCGAATATCAGACAGAAAATGGAAAAGCAGACTTCAGAATAGCTGGTTAAGAGTATGTATCTGCATGCCCTCTCCAGGAAAGCAGTACATTCCACGAAGACAGTACTGCTGTGGGATCCTTTGCCCCACAAAATTAGGGAAAAACCTTCCAACTCTTTCAAAGGAGACTTCCCATTTCACACCAGACCCCCATGCATCTATAAGTCTTATGAAGATTTGGTTTTTTCTTCACTTCACTCCTAGTCCTAAAGAAGCCAACTTACAAAACTGATACATTTTGTTTCTGTTTGTATTTTTTGTAGTTCTATTAGGGAGATGTTCCAGTTCCATCTCCCCAGATTCTTCCTCAGCCATGTTATCTTGCCCTGAGGACCACGTGAGTGACTTAACAAATCAGGAAATATCCTTAATGGTTTAGCTCTGCAATTCAAAAGGGCTGTGATGCCTTTAATTTCTCTTGCATTGAACCTTTGATTCTAACTGCTTTCTCATATGTGCTTTTAAAAGTGGTTATAGATGGAAAAAATGCCTCCCCCCGTCATTACAGATATTGCAGTAATAAACATTATACAGCCAGCTTCTGCACTTTGGCCACTGTAAAGGGGATTGACACCACAGTGTCCATATGCTGGCAAGCACACGGAAAACTCTTCTATCTCTCCTTCCCCTCTGACTGATGCATTACTGTTCGTGAATCCCACTGTAGGTGTGCTGCACTCCTCAGCACAACGTAAGGACTTTGTGTAGCTCTGAACCTTGTAGATTGAGCTGTTGGGTCCAGTTCTAAGGTCAACAAAATGGGAAAATGCCCCTTACGGTTGTTCTTTGGGACCAAGTTTTGGTGCAAGTAGTCTTAAAAGTGGGAATTAAAAAGGGGCTTTTTCCTGACTTTTAGCTATTCCAGTGTTCAGAGGACCCCAGTGTCCACATGTCAAGGGAAGAAACTGGCAACTGTATTGCCAAGAATAAATCCGACTCCATTATTCACTGTCTCTTTTTAAAGTACATCTGTGTGTGACCAATTCTGGTTGGCTTAGCCCCCAGAGAGAGTACATCTATTGACATATACAATAGAGGTGTAGTCTGAATTCAGTCCTTTCTTTCTGGAATAGGAATGTGCCCAGTTGTTGGTCCCATCTGTCACTACCTCTAGTCATGCTGCTGCTGTTGACAGCACACAATGTCCTGGCATTCCCTCAGTCTGCTGAGAACTATGTTGTGGTTTATGTATGTTTACATGCACGACAGTAACTGGGTAAGGAGAGAATGTACAGGTGAAACTTCCAAAATCACTTTAGTTTTACTTTGAATAGGTGTTCTTGCATATACTTACCGTGTTCAGATTTTTTATGCTGCCTCCAGCTATGTAACAGAGAACATGGGCACAAAACTTATCCAGGTTTGTACATAACTGTGTCACAGGTCCTTTCAGAAATCCGATCTGGTGAAAGGCTCCTTTGGAGCCAAACATTAACTGAAGGAAAGGAAAAGTGCAACTCTTTTTTTTCTTGTTACAGAAGCATTTTATGCAGGAAATTGTAGCTAATAGCCTAGCATCCTAGAGCAAGGAGTGCTGAAACAGCTTACCCTCACAGTAC